AAAAACAATTGAATGAGGTACAAAAAACAAAATTATAATGTCGAGCTTAGTCTGAAAACTGAAAAATATTCAGACCAGTTTTTCTCGACTTTTGATTTCTCGAAGGAAACTTTTTCGATTTCATAAAGAAAAACACGGCTGAAAGAGCTTCAATATGATATCCCACTCGACACACTATGACCTTTTAGAGGCGCTATGGCTGACTGGAAAAAACTTCGTGGAGCGGTCGGAACAAAAACATAAGTACGTAACAGCACTGCTGTAACATCTAAGCTTTCATTACAGCTGTAATTTCATTAATTTCATTTAAAAATGCTTATCACATCGGTGTAATAACACTTAGCATATATAATCAAACATAATCATATGTTACGCATCAAAGAGGCGAAGATAAAATATAGTTAGCCGCCCAAAATTTAAGCAGTTGTAGCTTTTGTAGAAAAAAATCTCGCAATCGGATGTTTCGATTGAACCTTTCATCTCAAATTTGCTGGTTCAGTTGTAAAGAAAAGTCGAAAAACTTTGTCAATAAAAACGGTCAAAAGTTCAAAAACTTCACTTTCCGAAATCCATAACCTTTTCTGGTTAAAAGTATGCCAAGGCAGCTTCAGCAGAGAAGATCACCAAACCGTGTTCCCGACTGACCACTTAACCTGAGAATGGGCATGGTAATTTTCGAAAAAAAATCAAAAAGTTTCAAAAAATCAGTCAAAAAGTCAAAACTCGGCGGGATAATGCAAAAGTATCCGGAAAGTCAAAATTTGGCACGGGAAAATTCAGATTCCAAAAAACGGTCAACAAATCAAAAATCATTTTTGAGAATCATAGCTTTGAGTTAAAATTTTTTTTTGAGGATCATAGCTTTGTGTAAAAAAAAAATTGGGCTTAGCAAGTATGCAGAAAAAAATCATGTAGTCTGTAATACCGATTGAACCATGGAGAATATATTTGGGATGGTAGTTCGAGAAAAGTCAAAAAGTTTCAAAGGACGGTCTAAAGATTAAAGATTTAATTTTCCGATGGCCGTATTTTTGTGTCAATAAATTGGGCGTATTCGCGAATGCAAAGCAGCTTCCCACAACCCAACTTTGAATTGAACCCAAAATCTGAACCCAAGATATGGGAACGTAGTTTTTGAGAAATTTCAAAGGCTTTTAAAAAAAATTGTCAAAAAGTAAATTAAAAAAAGCACTTTTCCGACGCCGAAAATTTTTGTGTAAAAAATTTTTCGAGTAGCCGCTAATACCGAGAAGCTTACCACTACCCATTAACTCCATTGAACCCAAAATATCAGATTTGAAAGAGTAGTTTTTGAGAAAATGAAAAAAAAATATCAAAAATATCGATTAAATATATTTCCGATACAATTCGTTTGAAAATCGGTAGTACAGTTTTGGAGGAAAACTAGTTTTCCTATACCACACATTTTCATAATACCTGTTTTTACCAACCAAAACTTCTAGGAATCTTTGAGTACCCATCAGGTGAGCCGGAAAAAAACGGTTTTATATGTTAATTTAAAAAGCTTTAAGTCCCCCCGGTAACTACAATCAAGTTTGAACAAAAGATTTTAACAAAAAAAAATTAAAAATACGCTTCTGAGCAAAAAAAACCGACTCACACGCTTCGACACATTGACTATCAAGAATTTACACAAGAACGCCATATAACTATCTAGGATTTGTAAAACCTACAAATCTAGACAAACAGTTCAACAGTGCCCTAAAATCGAATGAAATTAAGAGTAACTAATGTAAAAAACTGTGGTTCAATATTTGGCAGAAAATTTTCTTCTCATTGGGAGCTTTCAGTTGCAAAGAAAAGTCGCGAAACTTCGTCAATAAAAACGGTCAAAAGTTCAAAAACTTCACTTTCCGAAATCCATAACCTTATCTGTTTAAAGAGGCAGCTTCAGCATAGAAGATCACCAAACCGTGTTCCCGATTGACCACTTAACCTGAGAATGGGCATGATAGTTTTCGAAAAAGGCCAACAAGTTTCAAAAAATCAGTTAAAAATTCAAAACTCGGCGGGATAATGCAAAAGTTTCCGGAAAGACAAAATTTGGCAAGGGAAAATTCAGTTTCCAAAAAACGGTCAACAAATCAAAAATCATTTTTGAGAATCATAGCTTTGAGTAAAAATTTTTTTTTTGAGGATCATAGTTTTGTGCAACAAAAATTGGGCTTAGCAAGTATGCAGAAAAAAATCATGTAGTCTGTAATACCGATTGAACCATGGAGAATATATTTGGGATGGTAGTTCGAGAAAAGTCAAAAAGTTTCAAAGGACGGTCTAAAGATTAAAGATTTAATTTTCCGATGGCCGTATTTTTGTGTCAATAAATTGGGCGTATTCGCGAATGCAAAGCGATGGTAGTTTTTGAGAAATTTCGAGTTTTTTTTAAGAATGGTCAAACTTTGAATTGAAAATCTGAACCCAATATATGGGAACGTAGTTTTTGAGAAATTTCGAGTTTTTTTTAAAAATGGTCAAAATTAAATTTAAAAAATACTTTTCCGACGCCAATAATTTTTGTGTAAAAAGTTTTTCGAGTAGCCGCTAATACCGAGAAGCTAGCCACTACCCTTTATCTCCATTAAACCCAAAATATCAGATTTGAAAGAGTAGTTTTTGAGAAAATGAAAAAAAAAATCAAAAATATGGATTAAATATATTTCCATACAACTTTTTTGAAAATCGGTAGAACAGTTTTTGAGGAAAACTAGTTTTCCTATACCACAAATTTCCATAATACCTGTTTTTACTAACCAAAATTTCTAGGAATCTTTGAGTACACATAATGTGAGCCGAAAAAAATGGTTTTTTAACTTAATTTAAAAGCTTAAAGTCCCCCCGGTAACTACAATCAAGTTTGAACAAAAGATTTTAACAAAAAAAAATTAAAATTACGCTTCTGAGCAAAAAAAAACCGACTCACACGCTTCGACACATTGACTATCAAGAATTTACACAAGAACGCAATATAACTATCTAGGATTTGTAAAACCTACAAAGCTAGACAAACAGTTCAACAGTGCCTTTAAATCGAATGAAATTAAGAGTAACTAATGTAAAAAACTGTGGTTCAATATTTGGCAGAAAATTTTCTTCTCATTGGAAGCTTTCAGTTGCAAAGAAAAGTCGCGAAACTTCGTCAATAAAAACGGTCAAAAGTTCAAAAACTTCACTTTCCGAAATCCATAACCTTATCTGTTTAAAAGTATGCCGAGGCAGCTTCAGCATAGAAGATCACCAAACCGTGTTCCCGATTGACCACTTAACCTGAGAATGGGCATGATAGTTTTCGAAAAAGGCCAACAAGTTTCAAAAAATCAGTTAAAAATTCAAAACTCGGCGGGATAATGCAAAAGTTTCCGGAAAGTCAAAATTTGGCAAGGGAAAATTCAGTTTCCAAAAAACGGTCAACAAATCAAAAATCATTTTTGAGAATCATAGCTTTGAGTAAAAAATTTTTTTTGACGATCATAGTTTTGTGTAACAAAAATTGGTCTTAGCAAGTATGCAGAAAAAAATCATGTAGTCTGTAATACCGATTGAACCATGGAGAATATATTTGGGATGGTAGTTCGAGAAAAGTCAAAAAGTTTCAAAGGACGGTCTAAAGATTAAAGATTTAATTTTCCGATGGCCGTATTTTTGTGTCAATAAATTGGGCGTATTCGCGAATGCAAAGCGATGGTAGTTTTTGAGAAATTTCGAGTTTTTTTTAAGAATGGTCAAACTTTGAATTGAAAATCTGAACCCAATATATGGGAACGTAGTTTTTGAGAAATTTCGAGTTTTTTTTAAAAATGGTCAAAATTAAATTTAAAAAATACTTTTCCGACGCCAATAATTTTTGTGTAAAAAGTTTTTCGAGTAGCCGCTAATACCGAGAAGCTAGCCACTACCCTTTATCTCCATTAAACCCAAAATATCAGATTTGAAAGAGTAGTTTTTGAGAAAATGAAAAAAAAAATCAAAAATATGGATTAAATATATTTCCATACAACTTTTTTGAAAATCGGTAGAACAGTTTTTGAGGAAAACTAGTTTTCCTATACCACACATTTCCATAATACCTGTTTTTACTAACCAAAATTTCTAGGAATCTTTGAGTACACATAATGTGAGCCGAAAAAAATGGTTTTTTAACTTAATTTAAAAGCTTAAAGTCCCCCCGGTAACTACAATCAAGTTTGAACAAAAGATTTTTACAAAACAAAAACAAATTAAGTTATGCTTCTAAGCAAAAAACTGACTCACACGCTGCTTCGACACATTGACTATTCATATTTTACACAAGAACGCCACGTAACTTTCTAGGATTTTTAAAACCTACAAATCTAGACAAACAGTTCAACAGTGCCCTTAAATCGAATGAAATTAAAACTAACTACTGTAAAAAAAACGTGGTTCAATATTTTGCTTAAAATTTTCTTCTCATCGGGAGCTTTACTCCTGCTTTGGTGTCTTATGCACTAAACGGCCCAAACCAGGATTTCTACACCTTTCTTGAACTCAAAGTAATAAGGTTGAATCTGATTGGCTAATCAGACACTCAAATTCAAACAGCATGTTCCGGCATTTCAATTAAAATTTCAAGCGGATAAACTTATTTGCCGAAATTACCAAATTAGAAAAAAAAACTTCTGCTGAAGCCATTTTACAAAATTTTTTACGAAATGTTTCGGCTTATATTAGCCAATCAGATTCGACCGCATAAGTTTTAAATCGAGATTTGAACATATTGATTTTGGGCCGTTTTGTGCATAAGACCCCTGCTTTGTTTGCTTTACTGTCTCTCATAATTGTATATTAATTTCATTGTATGGATCAGACCCGTCTCCTTGTCATTCACCAGAGCCTATTGGCAGAACACGGTCAAGATTTTCAGATGCTGCTTTTTTCGGGTCTTGAAGTGGAAACTATATTTTTTTTCATAATTTTCCCACAAAGTTTGTCCAAAATCTGAACTGTTTAATAAAAAAAACTACTGGTTGGCTGAAATTTTAATTGACCGATACAGACAATCAACAAGTCAGTCATTGACTTTTTAATAGCTTGGCCTTTTTGGCCTTCGGCTTTTTAATTTTGTGCTCTTTTTTCCGTTTGCTTTTGTTCTCGTCGATGATTCTGCATTTCGAATCCTCCAAGTGACAATTTGCGCATTTTTCACAGTGCCAGAATGTAGGCTTCACGCACGTTTTGCATTTCTTGCAGTGCACATAAGTTGGACCATCTTTTGTGGTGCAATCTTTACAGATCTTGCAATGCTTATTATCCTTGTGCACGTACTTAACGCATTTTGCACACAACCTGTAACTTTCATCGGACGGAAGGACCAGTTTTTTCAGAAGAATATTGGTAAAAAAACGAGCAGGTGAGCCTCGTTTTTTCCCTCCCGAATAAATTCGATGTCCTTCATATTCAACGCGATAGTCGCTCATAGCAAACGACTTCAAAGCCTCCGTTTTCTCGAAACCCGATTGCATGAAATAAGGCATGCCAATGATAATATCGCAAGCTAATTTCGAATTCAGAAAGTTAACCAATCGGCTAAACAATTCTAACTTCACCCCGTATGGCGGATCACATATAACTAATGTCTTTTCAACGTTTTCAGAACTTTCATCAATGAAAGAGGCCGACTTTACGAATTTCTCAAACGCTTTCTCTCCAAGTTCTGTGAAAAAATGCTGATTGCATAAATTGAATTGAGCGAAATTTTTCGGGGGAAATATCTGACACAATTTCCAGTCGATGTTCAAACAAAATACATTTTTCAGTTTTCCAGAATAGTTCAATTGCGATACAGTTTCTATCAGTTTAAATGTTACGGACGGTGCTCCAATTCCTAATACACTCCTGTATTTTTCAGCGATACTCGAAACGAAATTGAGACACTTGGTGCTGAAGTAAAACTGCGCCTCTGCTGTTTTGTTGCTCAAAGTTGTAAACAATTTCAACGGATTTGCAATCATATTTTCAGGGATTCCGACTACCAGTTTTCCGCCTTCCGAGCACTTCTCATGATCAAAGTCTAACACATCCTTTGTACCACAGGAGGTTCCTACTCTTTTTATGAACAAATTACAATCTGCGCAAAACTTCCGATTAGCTGCATCGATAAGAGCCAGCTCTTTGAAATTCTTGTACATAGCTTTATGATCATAGATCTGGTTTTGCGACTTGGCTATTTCTGCTTTTACTTTCATAATTTCCGAATTCTTCAGTTTCTTATCGTCTAGGGAGTAAAAACACGGACATGACTTGCGATCTCGATAGGCCGAACAGGAAAAGAACTCCTTTGTATGTTCATTTTCTGTTTGATACATGTTTTCATTCTTCGGTTTCTTTTTCGCAGTCAGTGTCTCTTCGTCAGTTTTCTTCGTCTTACTTTCGATTATAATTTCGTTTCTGTTCACTCTTTCTTTCTGAACCTCGGCATGAGCTTTCAGTGTATCGTTTTTAGCTTCTTCCGTTTTCTTTTGATCTTCGGCCTTCACGCCGAATGAGCGACGAAACAGAACCATTGGTCCATGAGCACACATTGGAACTACGATGTCTTCAGGTGGTTTTATTATGCTGACTGAACCTCCAACCGACAAGTCTCCAAATTCGAGTTTCCGCTTCAGTTTCATGATAACCTGAAGAATAAAAGATACCTTTTGACATAATTATCCAATACATGTCTTTATGCAAAACTTGGATCACTTAAGCTAAACACGTCGTTGGAAAATATTAAATATTACACAGAAGCGAAGCTTCGCAAACACTAGCGAGAACACTACAAAAAGCAGCTCTATACAGTGCGATAAGAAAAATTAGAAATAAGCCTCGAATTAGTAAAAATTCGGCTACGTCTCAGATTCGAACCTGCGACCTAGATATTAAGCAGCTCACACACTAGCCACGAACGCTTAATAGTTATCAAACACTAGTCACAAATAAAGCAGAACAGATGCTATGCAATTTCCAATGCTAGTGAAATTTCCAAAAAAATGAACACTTAATGAATATTTATTTGCGAGTTAAGGTTTAAAAAAAGGTTCGTAATTATACCGTACGCTGATCGCAAATGTAATCAATTTCGGTACCAAGTTAACAGCCTTTTCCGTAAGCCGTCTAAGGGGAGAGGATGTTTTCTTAGTTCTCAGTAGTAATTTTCAGTAAAGAAAAGTTGAGGTTTTTCTCAGAGCGCTAAGGAATTTGAAATCTAAACTAAATAGTGCGATGGATGATCTTTAATTGGGCTATATAATGGGGAGGATACTATCAATTTTTCTTACAACCAGGGGAGCGGTGGCAAAGTGACTAAGTCTCCAAGTCTTAGATAAAAAGTCGGTGGTTCGAGGTGAACCAAAATTGAAGTACAGACAATAAGGACTACAAAATGAATCATCTCATTGAATCTTGATTAGTCATCAACCAGCTTTGAAGACCCTATTGATGACCCTTTCCCCCTTCAAAAACACTAAGATCGATTAGTGCAATTCCATATTTCTACAAAGGATCTACGAAAAAGAACTACATATGACTTTTCACCTGCTTTGAAAAACCTTTCGATAGGCAACTGCATGACAGCATTTCGACGCTTCATTGCTTCGAGGGACACATCATAGCTTTTGCTATCCCGACAATGCTACTTATTTCTTTATTGCCCATAAGTAACTAAGTTCGGAACCAATCAACTTCAACACAACCGTGCAACATGAATAACTACAAATACGCGACGTCCAGTGGTACCTTAATCCCTTTTGGCCCCTCTCATTGGTGGCTTGAGGGATTGAATCGTTGCGATAAAAAAGACAGCGTTCTGGTGAAACCTTTGGTTTTCAATTGAATTTCTAACGACCTGTTTGCTACTATTGTCCTTATCACTGTCAGAAACCTACACGAACTTCCCAACAAGTCCTGGAAGCGAGCAAAAGATGGACATAATGGAAAAATGGATACAACCCGAGGAACCAATCGATCAAAGATGACATCGTGAGGATACTTGAGGACTTTCCACCACGAGGCACATGGCCTCTAGGTCGAGGGCTAGAATATTTTGATGGCTCGGATGGCATCGCGCGCTCGTGTAAGCTTAAAAGAGAGTTAGGCACTTTATCTAGACCAGAGGCGAAACTTGCCCTCGTAAAAACAAAAAGGGAGATTTAGACTCTCTAAGTACACCGGGCTCAACCCAATGGGGTGCAGGTGAGTGTGATGAGACAAGGTCTAGTATGATTCGGTGAGTGAATAGGTGATAAGTCGATGTGTGGTGTTGGGTGTAGAGTGACATGTGGGTAGGTGTTTTCGGGTCGTGGTTTGTAGCAGAAGAAATGTCTGCGGTGTTGGTTAGAAGAGTTAAGGCTGCTGCATTTCAAATGAACCCAGCAACAGCAGTGGCACCATACGCTGTAGTGAGGGCGGCGAATCAGACCATACATGGTTCGCATTTGTAAACACTGGCTATGGTTTTGGTTCGATTCTGGACATTAGTAGTAGTAGTGAGCAGTGGCACCATACGCTCAAGTGAGGGCGGCTCAGACCATACATGGTTCGCATTTGTAAACACTGGCAATGGTTTTGGTTCGATTCTGGACATTAGTAGTAGTAGTGAGCAGTGGCACCATACGCTCAAGTGAGGGCGAATCAGACCATACATGGTTCGCATTTGTAAACACTGGCAATGGTTTTGGTTCGATTCTGGACATTAGTAGTAGTAGTGAGCAGTGGCACCATATGCTCAAGTGAGGGCGAATCAGACCATACATGGTTCGCATTTGTAAACACTGGCAATGGTTTTGGTTCGATTCTGGACATTAGTAGTAGTAGTGAGCAGTGGCACCATACGCTCAAGTGAGGGCGGCTCAGACCATACATGGTTCGCATTTGTAAACACTGGCTATGGTTTTGGTTCGATTCTGGACATTAGTAGTAGTAGTGAGCAGTGGCACCATACGCTTAAGTGAGGGCGAATCAGACCATACATGGTTCGCATTTGTAAACACTGGCAATGGTTTTGGTTCGATTCTGGACATTAGTAGTAGTAGTGAGCAGTGGCACCATACGCTCAAGTGAGGGCGGCTCAGACCATACATGGTTCGCATTTGTAAACACTGGCTATGGTTTTGGTTCGATTCTGGACATTAGTAGTAGTAGTGAGCAGTGGCACCATACGCTTAAGTGAGGGCGAATCAGACCATACATGGTTCGCATTTGTAAACACTGGCTATGGTTTTGGTTCGATTCTGGACATTAGTAGTAGTAGTGAGCAGTGGCACCATACGCTCAAGTGAGGGCGGCTCAGACCATACATGGTTCGCATTTGTAAACACTGGCTATGGTTTTGGTTCGATTCTGGACATTAGTAGTAGTAGTGAGCAGTGGCACCATACGCTCAAGTGAGGGCGGCTCAGACCATACATGGTTCGCATTTGTAAACACTGGCTATGGTTTTGGTTCGATTCTGGACATTAGTAGTAGTAGTGAGCAGTGGCACCATACGCTTAAGTGAGGGCGAATCAGACCATACATGGTTCGCATTTGTAAACACTGGCAATGGTTTTGGTTCGATTCTGGACATTAGTAGTAGTAGTGAGCAGTGGCACCATACGCTCAAGTGAGGGCGGCTCAGACCATACATGGTTCGCATTTGTAAACACTGGCTATGGTTTTGGTTCGATTCTGGACATTAGTAGTAGTAGTGAGCAGTGGCACCATACGCTTAAGTGAGGGCGAATCAGACCATACATGGTTCGCATTTGTAAACACTGGCTATGGTTTTGGTTCGATTCTGGACATTAGTAGTAGTAGTGAGCAGTGGCACCATACGCTCAAGTGAGGGCGGCTCAGACCATACATGGTTCGCATTTGTAAACACTGGCTATGGTTTTGGTTCGATTCTGGACATTAGTAGTAGTAGTGAGCAGTGGCACCATACGCTTAAGTGAGGGCGAATCAGACCATACATGGTTCGCATTTGTAAACACTGGCAATGGTTTTGGTTCGATTCTGGACATTAGTAGTAGTAGTGAGCAGTGGCACCATACGCTCAAGTGAGGGCGGCTCAGACCATACATGGTTCGCATTTGTAAACACTGGCTATGGTTTTGGTTCGATTCTGGACATTAGTAGTAGTAGTGAGCAGTGGCACCATACGCTTAAGTGAGGGCGAATCAGACCATACATGGTTCGCATTTGTAAACACTGGCAATGGTTTTGGTTCGATTCTGGACATTAGTAGTAGTAGTGAGCAGTGGCACCATACGCTTAAGTGAGGGCGAATCAGACCATACATGGTTCGCATTTGTAAACACTGGCTATGGTTTTGGTTCGATTCTGGACATTAGTAGTAGTAGTGAGCAGTGGCACCATACGCTCAAGTGAGGGCGGCTCAGACCATACATGGTTCGCATTTGTAAACACTGGCTATGGTTTTGGTTCGATTCTGGACATTAGTAGTAGTAGTGAGCAGTGGCACCATACGCTTAAGTGAGGGCGAATCAGACCATACATGGTTCGCATTTGTAAACACTGGCAATGGTTTTGGTTCGATTCTGGACATTAGTAGTAGTAGTGAGCAGTGGCACCATACGCTCAAGTGAGGGCGGCTCAGACCATACATGGTTCGCATTTGTAAACACTGACTATGGTTTTGGTTCGATTCTGGACATTAGTAGTAGTAGTGAGCAGTGGCACCATACGCTTAAGTGAGGGCGAATCAGACCATACATGGTTCGCATTTGTAAACACTGGCAATGGTTTTGGTTCGATTCTGGACATTAGTAGTAGTAGTGAGCAGTGGCACCATACGCTCAAGTGAGGGCGGCTCAGACCATACATGGTTCGCATTTGTAAACACTGGCAATGGTTTTGGTTCGATTCTGGACATTAGTAGTAGTAGTGAGCAGGGGCACCATACGCTCAAGTGAGGGCGAATCAGACCATACATGGTTCGCATTTGTAAACACTGGCAATGGTTTTGGTTCGATTCTGGACATTAGTAGTAGTAGTGAGCAGTGGCACCATACGCTCAAGTGAGGGCGGCTCAGACCATACATGGTTCGCATTTGTAAACACTGGCTATGGTTTTGGTTCGATTCTGGACATTAGTAGTAGTAGTGAGCAGTGGCACCATACGCTTAAGTGAGGGCGAATCAGACCATACATGGTTCGCATTTGTAAACACTGGCTATGGTTTTGGTTCGATTCTGGACATTAGTAGTAGTAGTGAGCAGTGGCACCATACGCTCAAGTGAGGGCGGCTCAGACCATACATGGTTCGCATTTGTAAACACTGGCTATGGTTTTGGTTCGATTCTGGACATTAGTAGTAGTAGTGAGCAGTGGCACCATACGCTTAAGTGAGGGCGAATCAGACCATACATGGTTCGCATTTGTAAACACTGGCTATGGTTTTGGTTCGATTCTGGACATTAGTAGTAGTAGTGAGCAGTGGCACCATACGCTCAAGTGAGGGCGAATCAGACCATACATGGTTCGCATTTGTAAACACTGGCTATGGTTTTGGTTCGATTCTGGACATTAGTAGTAGTAGTGAGCAGTGGCACCATACGCTCAAGTGAGGGCGGCTCAGACCATACATGGTTCGCATTTGTAAACACTGGCAATGGTTTTGGTTCGATTCTGGACATTAGTAGT